GAGAGTCTTCCTGTCACACACTGGGCTGTCTCTCACTCACCAGGCTCATTGTGTATCTGTTCGTGTCTCTGTTCCTCCTGCCTGTTCCCTTCCCACCTTCTGCCTTGGCATCTTAAGCTGGACAGAGTCCCTGCCCCTGGTTTTGCCCCCCTGCCTCCTCTGTGGTGTGGAATTTCTCTAATCTGCTTCACAAACTGCCAGTGGAGTCTCCCTGGCCCTCCCCTTCCTCTTGCCTCTCAAACCTGTCCAGCCAGTTTGCAGGGGCCCAGTTCCTCGTTGTGTTTTTTCCCCCCACTGGCCCAGCAGCTCTAGCCTGGAGCTCAGGTTTGGCTGTTTCAGTGGACTGAGCCAGGAGTACACTTGGGGGGTTCTTTTTGGATCCTCAGTCAACCTTATCTCATTACCTGTATGAGAAAATAGGAGCCAAAAGATCAAGGTCACTGAGTGGTCCTTTTCTATTTTGTTTTCCTTGTTACCTCCAAGGGGAGTCTAATCAGTGTACCTCTAGTTTACCCATTTTCTGAGTCTGCCAATTATATAGCATCTACTGTATTGCCAGGCCCTCTGTATTCCAGTTCTTCCTAGGCACACCCGAAACCACCCCACCCCCACTTCTGCCAGGAGTCCAGAGACCCTGTCACTCCTAGTTGGAAGCCAGACGCTTATGGCTGGGCCAGAGATGATGGAATTGGGGCAGGGCAGGCTAATGAGTAACTCAGGCAGAAGTGGCTGCCTGATACAGGTGCTGTGCCCTCCCCCTCCTCGCAGGCAGGAATGACGGGCAGACAGATGAAGCTGAATTAACTTGTGGTCTAGTCTTCTTCCCGAGTCCAGTTGGTGAAGAGTGCCCTGGGCACAGGCCAGCGGTGGGAAGAGCAGGGTCAGGCATCTGGTGAGAGCAGAGACTCTGGGCTCCCTGTTGCCTGGCACTCGATCACTGTTTACCTGCCTCTGGCGCTTACGCAAGACCTTGGAGCTGCCTTGCTCCCTGGACCCCGCCCCGCTGTCCTCTGTAACTGAAGACGGATAGGTTTCAGATTTTCCCTGTTGAATCATTTAGCGCCCTGCTTTCTGACCCATCTCAAAGATCCCTTCAGCCCTCCTGGCCCTGGAGTCACATGTTCTGGGGCTGAGGAAGATTGAGGTTTGGGAGTCCCTGGGACCTAGGGGTAGGCTTGGGTCTGCCTCTGAGCAACTTGATGCTCTTGGGTGGGCAAGGGGCTGTGTACTCTCTGGGACTAGGCTGAGAACTCCTTGACCTGAATCTGGAAGATCAGTTGATATACTATCATGGTAGAGCCACATCATGACTTCTGAGAGCCGGCAGTCTAGGCACATTTGGTTCCAAAATAATGACTGAAGAGGGCAGGGAGTCTGGGCCAGGAAGAGGTTCTGTTACTAGGACAAACAAGAAATGGCTGTGTGGGATCCTTGGGAAATCTCCCCACTGCTGTGTGAGTTCTCCTTGATTCAGGATACAACTTTTAATAGATATATGTTGATGTCTACTATCTGCTAGGCCCTGGGGACACAGGAGTCAGCTGAGAGCAATGTTTTTTTCCCCTCCAGAAGCTTATAATTGAGTGGAGGAAACAGTAAACAAATTGTCACTCTGATAAATATATCATTGTGGTACATGTGTACAATGGAATATTACCCAACCATGAAAAGGAATGAATTGGAATCAGTTCTAGTGAGGTGGATAAACCTGGAGCCAGTTAGACAGTGAAGTCAGTCAGAAAGAGAAGAATAGATATTGTATATTAATGCACACATATGGACTCCAGAAAAATGGTACTGATGGCCCTATTTGCAGGGCAGGAACAGACATGTGGATGTAGAGAACAGACTTGGGTACATAGCTGGGGAAGAAGAGAGTGGGATGAATTGAGAGAGTACATTGAAATATATGTGTTACCATATGTAAAACCGCTCGCTGATGGGAAGTTACTGTATAACACAGGGAGCTCAACCTGGTCCTTCATGACAATCTAGGGGAGTGGGATGGGGTCGGGGGTGGGAGGGAGGTTCAAGAGGAAGGGGACATATATATACTTATGGCTGATTCATGTTGTTGTATGGCAGAAAGCAACACAACATTGTAAAGCAGTTATTCTCCAGTTAAGAATAAATTAAACAATAAACTGAGGCAAACTCACGAGGTCATCTGTGGAGCATATAATGTGCATCTGATCTAGTTTGTGGGAGGGAAGGGTCAGGAAAGGCTTCTCTGAGGAAGTGACATCCTTCTGTAAAGCAAGTGAAGCCAGGAAGGTCCCTTTGGAAGGAGCAGCGTATGTGCAGGATAACATTTGTTGACAACTTTGTGACAGGCTTTACTGCTAGGTGTGTTCATGTTTACTATCTTGTCATTTTCCCTCTTTTTACTGAAGTAGAATCTAATAAAGGGCAAAAATCTTAAGTGTGTAACTTAATAAATTTTTATAGTTGCGTACACCCATATTATTGTTATTGTCTAATTCTCATGGGCAGTTACCTTGTGAGGTAGTATCATTATGTCCATCTTACAGATGAGGAAACAGGCTTAGAGAAGTTGTGATTTGTCCAACTTAATATACATTAAGTGAAGAGCAGAAACAAGGATTCCAGGTCAGATCCGGAGTCTAGTCCAGAGCCTTTTCTATCGGATGAGTGGCTTGGAGAACTTATACCTTTGCCTTGTAGCTTCTTTTCTGGTCCCATTTCTTTTCTTTTTTTAAAAAAAGAATTATTTATTTATTTTTGGCCATGCTCTGTCTCCATTGCTTCTTGAGCTTTTCTGTAGGTGTGGCGCACGGGCTTCTGATTATGGTGACTTCCCTTGCTGAGGAGGATGGTCTCCAGGGTGCCTGGGCTTTAGTAATTGTGGTTCCCAGGCTCTAGAGCACAGGCTAAGTAGTTGTAGCACGTGGGCTTAGTTGCTCCACAGCATGTGGGATCTTCCCAGATCCCTGAATCTGTCTCCTGCCTTGGCAGGTGGATTCCTTATCACTGAGTCACCAGGGGATCCCTCTGGTCCTATTTCTTACTTGAATTCCAGAATAGGGTCCTACCAACTAAGTATCTTGCTTTCTGGGGTATCTGAGTCAGAGGTTGGTTGGTCCAGAGAGGTTGGTCCTCCACATTGTCTGCATAGTGGAAGGGATGGGGTCCTCAGGCTCATGGGTGGTCTTTGAGGACCTTTTGAGATTGCCTGCTAAAAGTTTGGGTGAGCTATCACCTGGGGGAAGGGTACATTGTTTTCTCAAATACCAAAACGGTGAAAAACCATTGCTGATAAGGGGTTCCTCCCCGCTGTATCTTCCTCTGGAGGGGAGGGACTGGGAATGTTAGGAATGCTTTTCCTCCAAGCCCCGTCTCACCTAGAGCTCTGCCCCTCCTTTCCTTGCTCCCTCTGGTTCCTGGGCTTCTTAGCCCTTCTACAGTCCCTGCCTGAAAGGGGCCTTGCCAAGTTTCCTTGGCCCAGAGCTCTTCTGGGGGGTTGAGTTGGGTATGTTTGTGTCTCTGGCACTTCAGAGGCTCCTCCTCCAGTTTGGTGCTAGGCCCTGGTGGAGGTTAGCAGAAGGGGGGGGTGAAGCTGTATTTTTATTTGCTTAGAGGAGAAACTCTCCTTCCCAAGTTCCTGGAGCCAGCACATACCTGGACTACATTCCATCTGCTGACTCTGGGCTTAGGCAGTATGGACCCAGGGAGGCAACCTGCGGGTGTTCTTGGCCCTCAGATGGACAAGTCTGCCTGTCCTGGGGCCTCTTGGACTCATCCCACATGGCCTGCAGGATCTCAGTTCTCCAACCAAGGACTGCACCCTGGCCCCCGCAGTGAAAGCACGAACTTCTAACTATTGGACTGCCAGGGAACTCCCTGGACTGGTACTCTTAAATGTTATTTAAATCTTTTCTTGAGTGGGCTTCCTTGGTGGCTCAGATGGTAAAGAATCCTCCTGCAGTGTGGGAGACCTGGGTTCAATCCCTGGGTCAGGAAGATCCCCTGGAGAAGGAAATGATGACCCACTCCAGTATTCTTGCCTGGAGAATCCCATGGACAGAGGAGCCTGGCGAGCTACAGTCCATGGGGTTACAAAGAGTTGGACTTGACTGGGTGACTAACACTTTTACTTTTTTCTTGAGTAGGCAGTACATGGTAGCAGATTCAAAAGGGAACCAAAAGGGACTTCCCTGGTGGTCCAGTGGCTAAGACTATGCTCCCAATGTAGGGGGCCTGGGTTTGATTCCTGGTCAGGGAACTAGATCTCATGTGCCACAGCTAAGATCCTGCATGCCACAACTAGACCTGGCACAGCCCAATAAATGAATAAATATAGACAAACAAAAAACCCCAAAGGGACAAAAAGATATCTAGGAAAGAGCCAGTCATTCTCCCAGCCCTGTCCCCTCTCCTCAGTTCCCCCACCCCTGATGCCATCACTGCTATCGGTTTCTTTGAGTATCCTCCCAGAAGTGGGATGATGTACCCTGGGGTCTGCTGTATTTGAAATGAGCTCTGGGAATGGAGGCCTCTGTTCTCCACTGGGCTGGAGGCATCTGCATGTGGGGCTTGTGCCTTCCTTGGGGTTGGGGGAAGCAGACGGCAGTGCTAAATGTATGTGTGAAGATGAAGAGAAATCTTTAAACTCTTGGAAAAGCCAAGCTCCTCGGGACTGTATTAGAGGAAAGGAGTTCTTCTGGGTCAGTGGGTCTCAAAGTGTGGAATCTGGATGTGGCATCAGCATCACCTGGGAACTTGTTAGAAATGTAAATCTGCGCTTGGGGGACTACCTCCTGAGTCTGATGCTCTGCATGGGGGTGGGAGGGGTTGGGGGGTGGAGTCTGTGGTCCTTTAGATGCTGCTGCCCAGATGAAGTATGAGAACCACTGTTTTGTGTAGAGGGGATTGTAAGGCAGTCAGCCTCGTAAAAACTGGGCAAGTGGAGGTGTCTGGGTTTCTATTTCTAGTCTCTCAGCTTAAGCTCTTTCCTTTGTCTTCCAGGACTCCTCCTATCCATGGAGCAGGCGTCCACCATGGCCGAGCCCCGGGGCCCTGTTGACCATGGAGTCCAGATTCGCTTCATCACAGAGCCAGTGGGTGAGGCAGAGATAGGCACCCTACGTCGTGGCGGGCGACGGCCAGCTAAGGATGCAAGAGCCAACACTTACGGGGTTGCTGTGCGCGTGCAGGGCATCGCCGGGCAGCCATTTGTAGTGCTTAACAGTGGAGAGAAAGGCGGTGACTCCTTTGGAGTCCAGATCAAAGGGGCCAACAACCAAGGGGCGCCAGGAGCTCTGAGCTCTGACTCAGAACTTGCCGAGAGCCCCTACTCTCAGGCCAGGGACTTGCCTGCCCCCTCGCAGGGCAGCACCTCAGATGAGGAGCCCGGGGCCCACTGGAATGGAAGACTACTCCGCTCCCAGTCCCAGGCCTCCCTGGCAGGCCCTGCCCTGATAGGTCCAGACAACAGGAGCACCAGCATGCTGGAGCTGGCCCCCCAGGGCACTTCCCTGGGCAACACCATTGACACTGCCCCTCTGTCTTCGGTGGACTCACTCATCAACAAGTTTGACAGTCACCATGGGGGCCAGATCCGGGGCCGGACTGGCCGCCGCACGCGGACGCTGCCCCCCGAACAGCGCAAGCGGAGCCAGAGCCTGGACAACCGGCTGCCACGAGACACCCTCCAGGAACGGGAGCGGCGGTCCCCCGATCACTGGATCCCTGGCACAAAGCATGACCTGCGCACGGGCAGCTCTCTGGGTGGCTTTAGCCGTGCCCGTCAGACCCAGGACTGGGTCCTTCAGAGTTTTGAGGAGCCACAGGGGAGGGCACAGGACCCTGCAGTGCTGCAGGTGAGACTCCACCCTTCTGTGGCTTCCAACCCCTGGCCCCTCCTCATCAGTCCCAACCTACCAGCCCTGGGACCCCCAGTGGACTCAGATGATCTGTAGCAGAGTCTACATTTTGTCTTTCACTTTATCCATCTGCTTAACAGATGAGATTCACGTGTACAAGATACTTCTATGGGCAGAATTCTAAAGGAAGTGGAAGTAACTGTGAAATCACCATTCACAAGCCTAGAGAGTTAACTCGTCCTTGCCTGACCACTGTGTGTGCCTCGGTCAGTAGCATTTGCCAGGGCTGCCACAGACGGGAGGCAGGCTTGGAGGATATGAGTGGCTCTCTGTTGATCTGGCCAAAACTCCCACCTTTGTCTCCCACTCAGGAGTGTGAGTGAGTAGGGGAGTGACGTTACTCTGAGATAAAGTTAAATCCATTCTAAAAGTAAATCATTTACACATTCTAGTACATTAACTGCCATTAGTGACAAATAGCCTGTGACACAGCTCACAACTGGTTGAGAGCTGCCTGTCGAGCAAAATCTGATTTGCAGCAGTAGTGAGAGGTGGATCCTTCCTGGCCTGTTGCTCTGGCCTCGGAAGTGTTGCCTCTGTACCCCCTTTTCAGGCTCGTTCTTCATGCTTGAAGGGCCTCATCTCCGAACTGCCGCTTCTCTTCTATCTGAACCCCATACACGCTTCTGGCTTACCCTTCTCAACCTCCCACTGTCTCTGGGTTTACTTCTTTTGTAGTTCAAATCAACTCCAGACCTCCTCCAAGACCAGCAGCAGGCCGCCCCACCAGGCAGTGTGGCTCACGTGAAGGCCGCCATCTATGGCATCCTGAGAGAGGGGTGAGTGGGGGCCTCTCCCAACAGCAGAGCCACCTGTTCTAGCTTTGTTCCCCATCTTCCCTGCTCTTCACCCTCCCTTCCCTCATCTCTTCTCTCCCTTGCCTCCCCTTACCTTTGCATCTGTCCTTTCATCCTCCAGAAGCTCAGAAAGTGAAATCTCTGTGAGGAGGAAGGTCAGTTTGGTGCTGGAGCAGATGCAGCCTCTGGTGGTGAGTGGCCTTCTCATGGTGGAGGGAGGGGGCAGGCTTAGGGCCTCGTGCGCCTCGGGATCTGGATGTGGACTCACTTCTTTCCCCACTGTGTCTCTGGAAGATGGCTTCTCCTGGTTCTGCTAAGGCAAGGCAGGCTGAACTCACCCAAAAAGTGGAGGAGCTGCAGAAAAAGCTGGATGAAGAGGTGAAGGTGAGGAGGAGATCAGAGGTGCGGGAGGGATGAAGGACCACATGGGAGAAGAAACTTGGCCTGGATGGGCCCTTCCAAGCCGTGGAAAGAGCGCTTGTGTGTCCTGTGAGATGAGACAAGAGTGTGTGCTAGTCCCAGGAAGGACTTTGGGGGTTCTCCGGAACTTGGAGAGGAGGAACACATTCATCAGGGGTCCAGCTACTTTCCATTCTGTTCCTCTGGAAGGGCCTGTCCTAGCTCTGCCCCTTCTACTGTGCTTAGTCACTCAGTTGTGTCCGACTCTTTGCAACCCCATGGACTGCAGCCCGCCAGGCTCCTCTGTCCGTGGGATTCTCCAGGCAAGGATACTGGAGTGGGTTGCCATGCCCTCCTCCAGGGGATCTTCCCAACCCAGGTCTCCCACATTGCAGGCAGATTCTTTCCCATCTGAGCCACCAGGGAAGCCCAGCTTTACCACTTACTGACTATAAATCTTGAGCAAATTATTTACCTCAGCTCTTTTCATCATTATCATAATGATGGCAATAATAGTAGCTAACATTTATTGAGTTGAATTATTGTAGTATGTACTATCCTGAGTAATATGTAATGATTACAGTGACCCTGTAAAGTAGGTATCCTGGACTCTTGTATGATAAGAAAGTTGAAGATCAGAAAGATGAAGTGAATTGCCCAAGGTGGTAAGTTGTATAGGAATTTTAAAATCCAGGTCAGTCTTATGCTCAAGCCTTTGTACTCCTCTTTTTTTTTCCCCCCCATACTGCTTGGCACAGCGGTAAAGAATCCACCTGCCAACACAGGTGATGCAGGAGATGTGGGTTTGATCCCTGGGTTGGGAAGATCCCTTGGAGTAGGAAATGGCAACCTGTTCCAGTATTCTTGTCTGGAAAATTCCATAGACAGAGGAGCCTGGTAGTCTACAGTCCATGGGTCACAAAGAGACACAACTGAGCACACACACATGGTTATTACCATGTAACAAATTACCTCAGAGCAAACGTCACCTGGTATCAGAGTGTCCAAGATCTGGAGCCACTTAACGGAGTAGTTGTGGCTCAGAACCTGTAATGAACTTCCAGTCAAGATATTGGCCGGGGGGTCTAGTCACTCGGATACTTGACCGGAGTTGGAGGATTTACTTCTAGCACGGCTTACTCAATGGTGGCTAGCTGGAGGCCTCAGTTCCTTGCCACATGGACCTCTTCATAGGGCTGCTTGAGTGTCTTCACAGTATGGTAACTACCTTCCCTCAGAGTGAGTGATTCAAGAGAGAAGGTAAGAAGGAAGCTGCAATGCCTGTTTATGACCTCGTCTTAGAAGTGACACATCACTTCCTCCTTTTTCTGTTTGTTAGAAGGAATAGCCTGCACTCAAGGGGAGTCTATACTAAGTCCAGCCTCTGCTCAAGAGGAGAGGTTTCACCTTTCGAAAGGAATGGCAAAGAATCTGTGGACATATTTTAAACCATTACAAATACCAAGGTTTCATATGAGGATTTAAATGCAGATAATATACATAAGGTTCCTAGTTCAGTGCCTGTCACATAGTGAATATCAATAGGTGGTAGACATTTCCATTATTCCTGGTCCTTCTGAGAGGCTTGACCTACCCTTCACCTGTTTTATTCTCCTCTCCTTTTCCAGAAACGGCAGAAGCTAGAGCCGTCCCAGATGGGGCTAGAACGGCAGCTGGAGGAGAAGGCAGAAGAGTGCAGCCGATTGCAGGAGCTGCTGGAGAGGAGGAAGGGGGAGGCCCAGCAGAGCACCAAGGAGTGAGTGCAGCTGCTGGTGCACCCAGGGCTACGTGGGGGCCTTAGCCAGATTCAGAGACTCCCCCAGGGTTGGGGGAGACAGGGAAATCTCCAGAAGCTGAAAGGGGCAGACAGAGATGGTTAAAGATGGGACCTTTCTCTTTACTGTTTCTACCAGATGTGCTAATAGTGCATGAGTTAGGCAGCCTGGGTTTGCCCTGTGCATCAAGTTCTTAATCTGTAAAATGGGGTTAATAATAGTACCTGCCTCACCGAATTGTTGTGAGGGTTCAATCATTCATGTAGCAGAAGTTTTGCGATCAGTATTATAGAGTAGGTACTGATCTAGATTCTTGTGGTTCACCAGTGAACCATAAAGATGAAGCAAAGTTTCTAGTGAGGAAGAACAGATAGTAAACAACAAGCATATTATATAAGTAAATGTGTAACATGTGAGAAGGTGGTAAGTAGAGTAGGTTAAAGAACCTTAGGAGGGCTGGGTTGTAGGGGAGCAGGTTACAGTATTAAATCAAACAGGGGAGACATTGTTAAGATTTGAACAAATGCTTGAAGGAAGTTTAAATGAATTACTATAAGTAAAGTGTTTAGAAAATGGACTGATACTTAATGCTCAATAATGTTGTCTGTGATTGATTATTAGGCTCCAGAACATGAAGCTTCTCCTGGACCAGGGTGAAAAGGTACGGCATGGGCTGGAGACCCAGGTGATGGAGCTGCAGGACAAGCTGAAACAGGCCCAGGGTCCTGAAGCTGCTAAGGAGGTGCTAATGAAGGTAGGGAGGAGGGTGTGTGTATTAATTGTCATGTCCAACTCTGCAGCCCCATGGACTGTAGCCCGCCAGGCTCCTCTGTCCAGGGAATTCTCCAGGCAAGAATACTGGAGTGGGTTGCCATTCCCTTCTCCAGGGGAATCTTCCCAACCCAGGGATCAAACCCAGGTCTCCTGCTTTGCAGATTCGTTATCGTCTGACACCAGGGAAAGCCAGGGAGTAGGGTGGGGTACCCTCATCTCTGTTCCCTTTCAGCAAGAGCATCCTCAAGTCTGCTCATCTATAGTTCCCCAAAGTATGGGGAGGAGGTAGCTGACTGTCTCTTTAGGGTGCTTTCAGGCAGGTTCAATAGTGGGGTGATACCAGAGACCAGAATGGTGGATTTCCTTTAGCCTAACTAGGCATTGTAGAGGGCAGAGAGCACCTGTTCACATGCCTAGCAGATTGGAGGTGTTCAATACATATTTTTTGACTAACTAGATTAATGAATGAATGAATTGACAGACAGGTGGATTCTAATATGGTCACCTCTGTACTTCCACCTTCACTTTCCCCAGGACCTGGTAGAGACCCGGGAGCTTCTTGAGGAGGTCTTGGAGGGGAAACAGCGGGTGGAAGAGCAGCTGAGGCTGCGGGAGCGAGAGCTGACGGCCCTGAAGGGCGCCCTGAAGGAGGAGGTGGCCTCCCGGGACCAGGAGGTGGAGCACGTGAGGCAGCAGTACCAGCGGGACACAGAGCAGCTTCGCCGGAGCATGCAGGACGCGACCCAGGCATGTGACGAGAGCAGGGCTGGAAAAAGGGCATCCCGGGGAAGGGGCCTGCCTTGAGGTCTTGGTATCTGGGGATTTTTTTTTTCCTGGTCATCACCGGAACTCCTGCTAAAAGACACATGTGAGATGTAATGAAAACCTTCATCAGGAAACCTGTAAGGGCGGAGAGGAGTGTGGGCCAGAAGTCCTACCAGGGTGTGTGATCGAAGTCCCGTGGGGAAATAATGGAGGAGACTCCCTCTGGATGACAGAGGCACACTGTCTTGGGAGGAGAGCCTTGTGCTAACACTGCGCCAGGCTCCCCGGGTGGCAGGGCGTGCAGCTGGCACGGTGCCCCTGGATCTGAGTCTTACCGTCTGCACTCTCACACTTTGCTCTGGAGTTAGCTCTTGCCTCTGAACCTCCTGGCCCCAACTCTCCTCTTCCCTAGGACCACGCAGCGTTAGAAGCCGAGAAGCAGAAGATGTCAGCCCTGGTGCGGGGGCTGCAGAAGGAGCTGGAGGAGACCTCAGAGGAGACAGGGCATTGGCAGAACATGTTTCAGAAGAACAAGGAGGAGCTGAGAGCCACCAAGCAGCAGTAAGGATAGTCCCCCCAGGAAGCTTGTCCACTGTTCTTCTATCCCTGCTCTTCTCCGTCAGCGCTGTGCTCTTTCCTCTCCCGTTTCTCAGACTGCCCTTCTCCGTGTCCACCTTCCTCCCTCTTGAGGGTGGGTGCCCAGTGTATTAACCTCCAGGGAGGTGGTTTTCATCATTCTGCTGGCCTCTCCCCAGCAGGTGGCCTCACTCTGTTCCCTTTCCCTTTTATCTCACCTTGCTGGGCTCAGACTCCTGCAGCTGCGTATGGAGAAGGAGGAGATGGAAGAGGAACTCGGGGAGAAGATAGAGGCTTTGCAGAGGGAACTAGGGCAGGCCCGAACTGGTGCTGGAGATACTCGCCAGGTGGAGGAGCTCAAGAAGGTACTTGGAGGCTGGGCGGCAGAAGGGCAGGTTGGGGTGGTGGGCACATGCCTCACCCATCCACGAGGGCCTTCACACTGTCTCCCACTGCTTTGTTTTCAGACTTCCTCCTGCCTGCTCAGCCTTATCTCTTCACAGCACACACTCCGGCAGGACTGGTCTCCTCATTCATTGTAGACATTTCTAATGGAAAGAACTCTCCGTGGCCAGCTTGGGTTATAGCCAGAGGCTGCTGGCTGCCTCACAAGAGACCTCATGGGTCTCAACATTGAGGTGAATTTGTGAAACTCCAGGCTCCTTTTTGCAAGCTTGGAAACCTTATTTGGTTAGCATAGCAAGGGTTACTTAATCTTTTAGAGGGGACTCATTAACTACACTTATGAAACCAACATTTACAGTTAGAACACTGGCTTATTAACTTAAAATGAGCAGTGTTGTCACATGGATTGGAACACTTGCAGTGCGTTGCCAGCTGACCTACATGGGAAGCCAAATTTTAATTTGAAGGCTACTACAGAATCTAGACCCAGGGAACTAAATGTTTTTATTATGTGTGGATATTTTATAAACAATCTCATGAAATTAAAATGAACACAAATAATTTCTTAATATTTCTGGTATTAGTTTATGAAGGACAAGAAAGCAATGCATTATTTCAAATGATTTGAAAGTTAGAAAATATTTTCATTAATTATAATTATAGAGAAGTGGCATTTATGGCCTCTTGAGAATCCTTCTGGGTCTACATTTCTTTGATTGTCTAGGCTTGATATGTAGTAGGTGCTCAGTTAACAAGTATTAATTAATCAATGCTTGTTTATCATGCATTTACTATAAGACTACCTAATTTTAATCAGTAAGCATTATATTTTTATTTATTTTTGTTTTAGCATTATATTTTTAAATGAGTAAAGAAATATAGCTCTGAATGATGATTTCCCAGATAAATAAAAGCTTGAGCTTACACAAAATTTTTGGTGGAGAAAAAGATAATAAATGTTAACCAGATATACTTAGGTGGTTGTGAAATCAGAAGTACTCCTAGTTTTTACTGTATTGTTATTAAGTTAACAAATAAAGATAGTCTGAAGTCTGTTCATTATATTAGCTGACATAGTGAACTTGGATATTCCTCTGGACAATCTCAATTGATTTATTATGCTAGGTAAAGCTAAAAAGCTGAAAAGTAATAACTACTGTTTCATTTATCTCATATATTAAGTATATTTTATTAACTATTTAATCAACCTATAACATATACGTTAGGAAAACAGACTAACCCAGTCCACTGTAAACCATACTCTGTGGTAGTTTTCTTTTTCTTTGTAGTCAGTATGTTATTGTCTTATATAGAAGACTCACTATATACATATAACCTTTCAGCCTAATTATGATACTTTCTGAATTTCAGAAGTAGCTACTAGATAATTAGAACCGGAAATCATATTTTAATATTTTTAAAAAGAATTCAGATCAGCAAATCACACTAATATTTATTGTGTCACATACTTTGGTTTTCAGCGTTTGAAAAAAAATAGCTATTTTTATTTTATTCATACACTCATCTGTTCTTATTCCATATAATTTTTTAAAAGTAGAGATTTAATTCATGTGCCATAAAAGTCACCCTTTTAAAGAATACAGTTTAGTGGGGTTTTGTACACTCACAGAGTTTGACAACCATCACCACTATCTAATTATAGGATATTCTAATTACCCCAAGAAAGAACCCTGTATCCATTAGCAGTCACTCTCCTCACTCCCGGGAGCCACTAAGCTGCTTTCTCTCTCTATGGATTTGCTTATTCTGGGCATTTCATATAATTGGACTCCTGTAATATCTAGCTTTTTGTGTCTGGCTTCTTTCATCTAGTATGTTTCTCCAGGTTTATCTGTGTTGTACCAACTAACAGTATCTCATTACTTTTTATGGCTGAATAATATTCCACTGCATGGATATACCACATTTGTTTATCTTCATCAGTTTTTAAACATTTTTAATTTATTTGTGGCTGTGCTGGATCGTCTTTGCTCTCCTTGGTCTTTCTCTAGTTGCGGCAGGTGGGGGCTACTCCTTGTTGTGGTGCATAGGCTTCTCATTGCAGTGGCTTCTCTCATTGTGAACACAGGCTCTAGGCAAGTGGGCTTCAGTAGTTGTGGCACAGGAGCTTAGCTCTTGTGGTGCATGGGCTTAATTACTCTGTGGCATGTGGAATCTTCCTGGATCAGGAATAGAACCTGTGTCCCCTGCATTGGCCACCAGGGAAGTCTTATCTGTTCATTAGCTGGTGGACATTTGGGTCATTTCTCTATTTAGCTATAATGAATAATGCCACTATGAACTTTCACTTACAGGATTTTTCTGAACATATGTTTATATAGTTCTCTTGGGTATATAGCTAGGAGTGAAATTGCTGGGTCATATGGTCACTTTATGGTTAACTCTTTGAAAGTGGAAGTCATTCATTGGTGTCTGACTCTTTGTGACCCCATGGAGTGGGTAGCCATTCCCTTCTCCAGGGAATCTGCCCAACCCAGGTCTCCCGCATTGCAGGCAGATTCTTTACCTGCTGAGCCACAAGGGAAGCCCAAGAACTCTTTGAGACATTGCCAAATTATTTTCCAAAGTGGCCATGCCATTTCACATTCTCACCAGCAATGTGTGAGAGTTTCAGTTCCTCCACTCTCTGGTATCCCAAGCTGGCTCTGTCTGCCCTGTCACCATTTCCCTTCCCTTCTAGGAGCTGCACCGGACACAGGAGGAACTTAAGGAGCTGCAGGAAGAGCAGCAGAGCCGGGAGGTGGCAGGGCGACACCGCGAGCGGGAGTTGGAGAAGCAGCTGAGGGTCGAGGCTGAACGAAGTCGGGGGCTGGAACAGCAGAACCTCCAGCTACAAAAGACCCTCCAGCAACTGAGACAAGACTGTGAAGAGGCTTCCAAGGCAAGGGGAGTGGGCATGGGGCTTAGGAGGTGGAGGCTGAGGGGTCTGGAGGGCTGAGGAGCCAGAGGGCGTGCAAAATGACCTATCATGGGTATGTATAGACCAAATACCACGGTCCTAGGTGTGTGCTTAAACGTAGCCAGGATGTGGCTGGGGAGGCCGGGCTGTACCTTGTGACACCCACTGCTTCTCTGTAGGGTGGGGTTCTCAGGGAAGCCTCTGGCTGGCGGTACCACCCCTCTTTCAGTCGCTCTCTGTGGGGTGGTTTTCCTGGGAGTTGTCAATGACCTCGAGCCCCGGGGTCTGAGCCACCTCTCTGAACCCGCCTCAGGCTCAGATGGCAGCAGAGACGGAAGCAGCAGTGCTGGGGCAGCGTCGAACAGCAGTGGAGACAACGCTTCGGGAGACCCAGGAAGAAAATGACGAATTCCGAAGGCGCATCCTGGGTCTGGAGCAGCAACTGAAGGAGGCACGAGGCTTGGCGGAGGGTGGGGAAGTGGCGGAGGCTCGACTTCGGGACAAGGTGCAGCGGCTAGAGGTTAGTGCTTTCGCTAACATCTTTGTCCTGTCCTCTGTCCTCTCATCCCTGGCTAAATACTGGTGGCCCAGATGGTAAAGAAAATGCCTGCAATGCAGGAGACCTGAGTTCAATCCCTGGGTCAGGCAGATCCCCTGGAGAAGGGAATGGCCGCCCACTCCAGTACTCTTGCCTGGAGAATCCCATGGACAGAGGAGCCTGGCGGGCTACAGTCCATGGGGTCACAAAGAGTCAGACATGACTGAGCAACTAACATGAACGTGGAAACACTCAGCCATCGCTTTTATTTTGCCTGTAATGTGTTTCTGTTTGTCTCCCTAGCCCTCTGTTAACCTTGGGTTTGTTTCTGGAGTGTGCTTTGGTGTGAATGCCTCAGCCTTTGCACTAGTGTCTTTGTTCATCTCCCACTCTGCATGGTCTCTGATCTTGGTTGGTTCCTCTGAGCCTGTTTTCATTGTCCACCTTTTTCAGAAATATCTCTTCCTCCTCCCTCCCATCTACTCACCTCCAAATGGCTTGAGCCTGAGCTTTGTGTCCTCTTGGTCCAACATCCCTCACCTTCCTCTCTCCCAGGCAGAGAAACAGCGGCTAGAGGAGGCCTTGAATGCAGCTCAGGAAGAGGAGGGGAGCCTGGCAGCAGCCAAGCGGGCACTGGAGGCACGGCTGGAGGAGGCCCAGCGGGGGCTGACCCGCCTGGGGCAGGAGCAGCAGGCGCTGAACCGGGCGCTGGAGGAGGAGGGGAAGCAGCGGGAGGCGCTCCGGCGCAGCAAGGCCGAGCTGGAGGAGCAGAAGCGCTTGCTGGACAGGACTGTGGACCGGCTGAACAAGGAGGTGGGGCATGGGCTGGCCCAGCCTCAGGAGGAGGCTCAGCTCCTGTAGAAGCTTGCCTGGAGCAGTGGACAGGGGAGGGAATGGGGTCACAGCGTGTGGTGTTTGCTTTCCTCAAGTTCATTGTTGGGGAAGCCAAGGCCAAAGAGGCAGAGTGGCATCCTTCCTGCGTCCCCTGAGTGTTCTTGCCCTCCCCCGCCATCCCATTCCTTTACGGTCTAATCCTTGGAGACCTTCTGTCTCCTGGAGCTCCTTTTAGAAGTCTGTAAGACCTAAACATAGGAATCTTTATTGGTAGAGTTTTATATGTAGAGGAAGGGAAGAAAAAGGCCTATGGTCCCTCCTTAGACATCTGTAAGACCTAAAAACAGGGATTTTCATTGGTAGAATTTTATATTTGGGGGAGGGAAGGAGAAAGGAAGAAAAGGAAATAAATTGCTTTTTCTCAGGTAAGATCATCCACCTAGTCTCTTATTTATAAAACTGGAGCAAACACCTATTTCATCAGTTCTAAAATGTACATTGTATCATCTCTGGGATTGATTTGTCTTATAATTGATGGTATGTTATAGTTCAGTTGGCAACTTTTTCTTCAGTGGTATACCTTATAATAATCATTGGTATCATGGGTTTGCTAAAATATGGTCATTTCAGGCTTACTTTGTATCAGGCACTGCTGTAAGTATGTGTATAATTAATTAACATAATTCTCACAACAACCTTGTGATGTACTGTTATTATCCCATTTTACAGATAGGGAACTGAGACTGAGAGGATAAGTGACGTGCCTGTGGTCGCACAGCTAAGTGGTAGAGCTGGATTTGAACCCAGGAGATCTATATATTACTCCCAGCCACACTAGGGACCTAGGTCCAGAGAGCAAGAGAGGGCTGCTTGGGCAGGAAGAACCTTGGGAATCTGGGCCCAGAGAAGGGACCGAGGCATCTGTTAAAGACTTGCAGGGTTGAAAAAGCTCTTCTCTCTGTGTCTCAGCTGGAGCAGATTGGGGACGACTCAAAGCAAGCCCTGCAGCAGCTCCAGGCCCAGCTGGAGGATTACAAGGAAAAGGCTCGGCGGGAGGTGGCAGATGCCCAGCGCCAGGCCAAGGAGTGGGCCAGTGAAGCTGAGAAGACCTCTGGGGGGCTAAGCCGGCTTCAGGATGAGGTAGGAGCCTAAATGGCAGGATAGTGGGAATCCTCCCAGTGTTCTCATTGCCTCTTAATTAAATGTGTCTGACTCTTTGAGACTCCATGGACTGTAGCCCACCAGGTTTTTATGTCCATGAGATTCTCCAGGCAAGAATACTGGAGTGGGTAGCCATTCCTTTCTCTAGGAGATCTTCCTGACCCAGGGATTGAACCAGGGTCTCCTGCATTGCAGGCATACTCTTTACCTTCTGAGCCACCAGGGAAGTGAAGTGAAAGTTGCTCAGTTGTGTCCAACCCTTCACGGCCCCATGGACTACAGAGTCCTTGGAATTCTCCAGGCTAGAATACTGGAGTGGGTAGCTGTTCCCTTCTCCAGGGGATCATCCCAATCCAGGAATCGAACCCAAGTCTCCCACATTGTAGGCGGATTCTTTACCAGCTGAGCCATGAGGGAAGCCTGCCTCTTAATTAAAGCTGTTACCAAAGGAACCTAGGATCTGGGTTTAGGTCTAATCACTTAGGCGGGGGAGGGTGGAGGGAGTTGTCCACCCTAGATGCAGACAGAGGATGCGTTCCCCAGTGGCTCAGCAGTAAAGAATCCTCCTACAATGCAGGAGACATAGGAGATGCAGGTTCGATCCCTAGATTGGGAAGATCCCCTGGAGGAGGAAATGGCCACTCACTCCAGTGTTCTTGCCTGGAGAATCGCATGGACTGAATAGCCTGGCAGGCTGTAGCCCATAGGGTCATAAAGAATCCGACATGACTGAATCAACTGAGCATGCATGCACTTAGGCAGGGCTGTATACTGTAGTGATGCACTTACATCACTCTTGTACAGACAACACATCCTCTACTGATGCGTTTTCAAACCCTGCTGCACATTAGGGGCACCTGGGGAGATTTTGAAAAATCTCAATACCCAGGATGCATCCTGTCCACTTAAATCATAAACCCCGCAGGGTGGACTGCTCCCACCCCAGCTCCACCTCACTTTATCTGAGCTGTTGCATTTTTTCTCTTCTGACTAGACTCAGAGGCTGCGGCAGGCCCTGCAGGCATCCCAGGCTGATCGGGACACAGCCCGGCTGGACAAAGAGCTACTGGTCCAGCGATTGCAGGGGCTGGAACAAGAGGCAGAGAACAAAAAACGCTCTCAGGATGACAAGAGTCGGCAACTCAAGAGCCTTGAGGTGAGGACACTGACGTGTGGAGGCAGGGTTGGGGGAGACGGGGGAGGTCTGGATCCTGGTGCAGGTGGGACTTCTGTGGGAAGAAAAGCCAGGACACTCCCAGCCTCTTTCTGTATCAGGGATGGAAAACTGGCAGCCCACAGCTGATGGATTTTGTTTGACTGCAGTGCTTTAAGCAACTTTGAAATAATTGCCACTGTTTAGAAATTTAAAGATGTCAAATAAAATTTTGGATTTCTAGCCTCTTGTCTACCTTTGAAAAATAGAACAACGAGGGGCTTTGAGTTCCACGTTGTCTGATTGGTAGTAGTTGGCTGGAGCTGAGCAGCGGCTTCTCCCCTTTAGAGTCAACAGTGGCCTTCAGTTTGCTGTATTTGGCAGTAACAACAACAGTAATAGTAGCAGCAGCAGCAAACACTTAATATATTGTGCTGTGTGCCAAGTAGTTAAGAATCATTTAATCCTGAGCAATGCAGGAGACCTGGGTTTGATCCCTGGGCCCGGAACATCCACTGGAGAAGTGAATGGCAACCCACTCCAGTATTCTTGCCTGGAGAATCCCATGGACAGAGGAGCCTGGTGGACTATGGTCCATGGGGTCACAAAGAGTCAGATATGACTGAGCAGCTAACACTCATTCACTCACTCAGTCCTGAGAATAGCCCTTTGGAATGGGTAGTTTGTTTTATCCATTTTACAGATGTGGAAAACAGACACAGAGAGGCTAAGCCACTTGTCCATGGCCCCTTTGCTAGGAAGTGGTGAAGTGAAATGAAGTGACTGATGTCACTCATGTCCGACTCTTTGCAACCCCGTGGACTATACAGTTCATGGAATTCTCCAGGCCAGAATACTGGAGTGGGTAGCCTTTCCCTTCTCCAAGGAATCTTCCCAACGGAGGGATTGAACCAGGGTCTTCTGCATTGCAGGCGGATTCTTTACCCTCTGAACCACCAGGGAAGGAAGTGGTAGATCTGATTTTTAAACCCAGGCAGTCTGGCTCTGGTGCCCATGCTCTTAGTCTGTATATGGTACTGCCTGGCTTGAGTTTAGAAGCTTGGGTTTCTGTTTTCCCATTAGGGAAATAGGGCTGCCCCAGTGAGAAATAGATTCTGGGGTTTGTCCTCCTGCCAAGGGGTCAGGATCCAAGTGGGCCCATTCCTTTCTCTTGATGTCTCACTTGGGCAGCAGAGGGCGCTAGCTCCATGGTAGCTCTGGGCAGGGGGAGGGACCAACGGATTGTGGGACGGGGAGAGACAAGAATCTTCAGAGGCTGGGGTCTGAGAGTCCAGGTCAGAGTGGCATTGTGGTGTCCAGCATTTTGGGCAGAATTAACCCAAACTGTTGTCCCTCTGCCACAGGAAAAAGTCTCACGGCTGGAGGCAGAGTTAGATGAGGAGAAGAGCACGGTGGAGCTGCTGACCGACCGGATGAATCGTGGCCGAGATCAGGTAACCCCTTCCTGACCCCTCATCTATGTTTATGCCTGATGACTTTATGCCTCTCAGCCCTTTCAAAAACAACCCTACCTTCCCATCTTTCATGTCTGGAGAGCTCTGGCTGCAGAATTGGTGCGTGGCTAGTTCTACTGCAGAGTCTCATCTGCTTTCGGGAGGGGTTGGCAGGTTTCCTCAAGTGGAAAGAAGCCAGGAATTTGAATGGAGGAAGGAATCCTTGGTGGCCTGGGCTACTGACCTGAGTCTGGTCCATTTCCATTCAGAAAGGATTCTGGTTCCTGGTGAGACTGAGGAGGCCTTGTTTCAATCCTATGGCTCCTCCCATTCGAGTAGGCTGTGATTTCTTAGTTGCCTGGAATTTGGGGGATTCAGAGAGCACCCCCCATTTACTCTGCCCAGCTTGGTTTCAGCTTGCTGGTTCATCATCAGTCCTCCCCAAGTCCAGTTCCTCTGGCCTATCCCTGCTAGGTGGACCAGCTGAGGACAGAGCTCATGCAAGAGAGGTCAGCCCGGCAGGATCTGGAGTGTGACAAAATCTCCTTGGAGAGACAGGTGAGGGGGTGGGGTGGGCAGTCTCAGGGAGAGACCTTGGGAGGTGGGTAGAATGACCATGGAAGCAATTGGAAGTAGAGTGCAAACCAACGAGGCTTCCTGTCCCCTCTCAGAACAAGGACTTGAAGAGCCGCTTGGCCAGCTCAGAAGGCTTCCAGAAGCCCAGCGCCAGCCTCTCGCAGCTTGAGTCCCAGAATCGGGAGTTGCAGGAGCGGCTGCAGGCAGAAGAGAGGTGACATGAGCTATCCTTTCTCTCTCCCTTTGGGCTTTTCTCCTCTGGGCCCCGCTGTCTTCTGTCTCAGTCATGGCAATCTGGCTTGATCTTTCGGGAGCCCTTTTATCTTGATAGGGAGAAGAGAGAATTATGGAAATTCTGAAATGTGAATGGCCTCTGTCTACCCAGTTCTTTGGATCTGCCCTGGATCCTCCCCAGCCTAATGGTGGGGCTTGTGGCTGAGCCCTTGGAGTCCTTGGAGGCAGTACGGGGCCAAGTAGCAGCTTCTTTAGAAATGACAACAGCCTAGACATCCCCGTACCCCGCCCTTTTAGGGAGAAGACAGTTCTGCAGTCTACCAACCGAAAACTGGAGCGGAGAGTTAAAGAGCTGTCCATTCAGATTGATGATGAAAGGCAGCATGTGAATGACCAGAAAGACCAGGTAAGGATGGCAGCCAGGGCCAGGCAACCATAGGGCAAGTATATACTATGCATTTTCTTGAAGGCCAGGGGAGGGCCTCCCTCATAGGTGTTCTATCTTAGACCTTTTTTCTATAAGGACAGAGAAACTAGAGCAGAAGGACTAGATTAGTGCATAGTAAGCGTATGTACTGAGTACTTACGATGCACTGGGTACCTTTTCTAAGTGATGTATTAGCTCATTTAACCCCCAAGACAAACCTATAAGGTTAGGGAACTTGCCTATGGTCACAACATTTTTCTAGGGGCAACTACATATACCTTGTCAAGATTGCTACAGGGGAGGGTCTCAGGCCATGGTAGCAACAGCTGCTTTTCTAATGGGGGGGACTTGATGTCTTGCCTAGCTAAGCCTGAGGGTGAAGGCTTTGAAGCGGCAGGTGGATGAAGCCGAAGAGGAAATTGAGCGACTGGACAGCCTAAGGAAGAAAGCCCAGCGTGAGCTGGAGGAGCAGCATGAGGTCAATGAACAGCTCCAGGCCCGGCTCAAAGCCCTGGAGAAGGACTCCTGGTATGGGCTGCTCTTCTGCCCCCGGCTCCATTGGGAATGAGCTCTCCTGTGCTGGGTGGGGAGGGGGGTCTCTAAGAGGTGACTTTGCAGGCACTCATTCCTGGATGAAAGCCAGGATGGTTGTGTTTTCGTACCTCCATGTCCATCCTGTACCCCATCTCCCCTACTTCTTAGGGGAATCTCATGTGTAGTTTTAGGCTTTAGAAGAACTGAGTTTCCTTAGCATGAGAAGGGAGGCTGTTTAAATCTGTCATCTCCCCTGACTGGTATCCTCTCTTTGACTCAGGCGCAGAGCTTCCCGCTCAGCTGCTGAGTCAGCCCTGCAGCGCGAAGGACTGAGCTCAGATGAGGAATTGGACAGTGTCTACGATCCTTCCTCCATCACCTCACTGCTTACAGAGAGCAACCTGCAGACCAGCTCTTGTTAGCTTGTGGGCCACAAGGGCCCATAGACCACACCTGAGGCCTGGCCAGTTCTGCTCTGCTCTGCCCAGCTTCAGATTCCTCATCTCTGGCAGGGATCCAGTTATTAAAGACCTAAGATGGGGAGGGGTTTGAGTGATGGTGATAAAAAAATGCATCTGTGCTAAACCAGTAGAGGGACTTTCCCCTTCCTCTGGGGGGAGTGGGCTCTTTAGGCCAACTGAGCCCCCTCCTTAAGTGCCGATAACCCCCTCCTCTGCTCCCTCATAGCAGCAGGCTGGTCAGGGGGATTGAGTGGAATAGCAAGGGATAGAAATTGCCATGTATATAAAGCTTGCTTTCTTTAGCCCTTAACCCTAGGCTCAGGGAAATACCCTATGTGATTCTGCCCCCTTGACTCCTGCAGTTCATTTCCTTCCTATTCTGGAGCGGGGTTAGGGGAGCATTATGGGTAATGGACATGCTGGCGTGACTCTGCCCACTTCTCACATGCTCTTCTTTGCACAGTCATGGGGCCCATGCAGTAGTCCCCACCTGTCTCCATTACTATATTTTTTGTCTTCCCTAGGCTAGGATCCAAGGGACCCTTTCTCCTTCCCTTCCCATCTTTACCATTTCTACGTTCCTTCTTTCTTCTCAGTGCCTTAGCCAGGGTGAGGAGATATGGATGCTCTTCTTGCCTTTTATTACCTGCACATTCATACCTCTCCAAAGATCACCTTTTCCCCAGCTGGGGCCCTCTGCCTTCCCTGCCGCCCCAGTGACTGGTTGAGAGATCTACCAGCTTCTCTGCCTATTATCCCCTGTGAGAGGGGCTTTGGTAGGGCTGTGATAAGGTGGTGGAGCCTGCTTCTGCTCAGGGTTTCCATCCTTCCTCCTCTCCCTCTGGACTATGTTGTGTTTATAAGATGGTTGGACCTGGAAACCCTGACAACTGTCTACACAAGTTTGAAAAGCAAAGGTTTCAGTCTCTGTGGCCATACTTGTGGTTTCTCTTTTCAGAGGTGCCCAAGCCCAGTAGGGAATTGAGGGACCCTCATTATCTCAGGAGCCTGGACCTGATACAGAGGGGCTAGAGGCTGACTCTTGGTAGAAATGGGAAGAGGCAATGGAGGATTTGTTCCTCTTTTGGGATTCGGGGAGAGCCAAGTTCTGGTGGGGAGGAGGTGAGGAAGATGATTCACCTCTCTTATTTCCTAAGCAGGCTCTGTAAGGAGCCTAGAGGAGGGAGAAGCCTGTTCTCATCAATGACTTGTAATTTCATGATTTAGAAAAATTCCTCTATTCTGCAAATCATATATTCTCTCCCAATCCAATCGAGCATTGAATTTTTAATTTAAATTAAATAAAAATTATATATCTATACTGAAATCCTTGACTTGTCTTCTCATTCATTTTCCTGACTTATTTGGAGGTCTAAACTACATGAAGAAGCCATCTTACTGTGCAACATAGAGGCTGAAACTGGAGTTTTCTTACCTCACTTTTAGAGGCCTTTTACAATAGATCAGATGGGATCTAGGGAGATGAGAAGTTTATAGAAGCTCCATTCTTCCTGGGACTAGCAAGACCAAGAAGAGTAAATGCCTTCTTTGAGAATTAAAGAAGACAGGCTAGAACTGAGTTTTATTCCTATGGGGCATAAGGATACCCTAAATATTTACCTTCAAGATGCAAAGATACCATCCATTCCTACATAGCATGTGACCCAGTTCCTACCTGGGAAGTTTCTGTCATCCCTGCCCTTGTGTTCCCTTGAAGAGGGGATTAGGTGTTCACCAAAGTCTATTGTCAGATTCAGAAGTTCTGCCCACTCAAGAATAGGTCAGACCTCCTCCTGTCTGATGTCCATGAAGATCATAGCCCCAGTGAGAAGCCACCTGCCAAGAGCAGTTGGGCTGGGAGAGGCTCCAAGGTCCTGCTTGATCAACCTCTCTTATGGGCCCTTAGGATGCTAACCTGGGCTTAGGGAGCAAATGCCACTGGAGAAGTTGAGATTTATCCCGTCTCAAGAATACAAATTCCTCTTAAGGCAATGTGGCCCGCCTCTCCCTTCTATATAAGGGCAGCTTCGATATAATAGCTTCTGCCAAACAAGCCCCACCCATAGCCAAGCTGGCATTGACTTTGGCCTGGGCTTCCTGCCAGGGACGGGCACTTGCCAGACTGGCTTAGGCCAGTCTGAGTGAGCTGTCTGTAAGGTTTGCTCAGCTCCACAAACCCTACAGGCTGGCCTATATGTAGGAACAGGAGAATGTATGGAAGATTTTTCCAACTCCTCATCCTCTAGGGGCTGGCAGGGTGATTCTGTCTTACAAACACTGGTCTTGGAATTGAACGGTGAAGGCAAGACTAATGTTTGAGGTACAACCATACACGCATATGTGCTTAGTCGCTCGGTCATGTCCTACTCTTTGCGACGCTCCGTACTGTAACCCGTCAAGCTCCTCGTCCATGGGATTTTCCAGGCAAGAATGCTGCAGTGGGTTGCCATTTCTTCATATAGGCATAAAACGCTGTACAAAACTTCAGTTACGCAAATAAGTTGCTCCGAGCCAGAAGCCCCACCTCTACGTAAATCTGTGCGAGCTCAGATGGGCGCGTCCTGAAACATCTAGACCACGCCCATTGCACCCTTTCGTTCACTCGTTGGCCAATGGCGCCTTAGGGGCGTGTCCTGTCTTGCCCCCGCCCCTGACGCGACTATACAAGGTGGGGCGGTTCGGCGCGCGCCCGCTTAGTAGGAGCCAGACTGCAGGGCCGAGGGTTGGGCTTTGTGCTGCAACCCCCGCAGGAAAAGATGAACGGGACAAGTAATTGGTGTACATTGGTGGACGTGCACCCGGAGGGGCAGAACGCGGTAAGAAAAAGCGTTCGCGCCGCCTCCCTAGCTTGGTATTCTCGTTTTCGAATTCTTCCTTTGCAGTGCCCCGCGAGGGGTTCGCTGACATCTGATGCCGCGCTCGGTGTGGTAGCTCGTCGCGGCGCTTCTCTTTTTCTGCCACTTCGCGGCGGGCAGTGGGGTCAGCAGGATAAAGACTCTTCTGAGGCCCGAGGACACGAGGCTTCCCTGCCCTTTGGGAGGACACTGCGGCTCCTGCCCGGGACTCGGCGCGGGTCGCCAGTGCGCGCTGCTCAGGCGTCCTATGGGCTGTTAGGCTGTGTCGTAGGAGAATGAGCCCCAGGGACGGGATCCCTGTGCCCTTTTGGACTTTGGTTCCCATCGAGGGGGATTAGGCTTTTCTGTGGGTCCTGGTGACTTCAGGGGTTCTTCAAAGAACTTCGTAGTGCTTTGGGCGATCAGTAGCAAGACAAAGGATACAAAGTGAAATTCTAGGGCTTGGACTGGAGGGTGGGGGTGGTAGAACTCCAAGTACGCCGAGATTGGCCAAGGACTCTTACTTTTCACTAGGAGGCTGTCTGCTTGGGGTCACCTCTCTGCTATGATTTCTGCTCTTTCCCCCATGCCGGTGTTCCTGCTCCCCTCCTCCCATCGGTCAGCCGATAGCTTCCTGGGACTTTCGGTTGGTTTTGCTTCCGTCTTCAAGCACGGGACAAGTGGGAAGGGATGCCAGAACCTGGGCTGAGAAGGGGAGGGAAGTGACCTGCACGAGCTTCTAGACAGAGAGAGAGTGGGGGAGCGAGGAGTCCTTCCCATTTGCTCCAGTGCTAAGCGATCTGCCCAGCTCCTCTCACTCCCTTGGTCTCCTCCCCACCACAGCAGACCGTATGATTTTTCCTCATACCCTCAGAGGAGGGTAGCTTGTGGCTCTGCTGGGAAACCTCACCCAGAATGAATGTGTACTATTTCATCAGTTTCCAAGCTATTCTGGGGGAGAATGAAACGGGAGCCAAGGTGATAGGGAGTTTGTATCCCTCCCTTTCCCCCACTGCACTCTGATTCTGTTCCTGTCTTCCTGTCTCAGCATGTCCTTGAGATAGAGCTAATCCATCTGCACCTGGATTATGGCTTTTCAAAGTATATTTGTAGGATAGTTGATCATTTCAAGTTTAGGGTATAAATGATCACTTAATTCGGCTCACAGTCCCTTCTCCATTTCTGTCCAGGCTGTGAGTTTCTATCACATTACAATTCAGGTATTGCTACTGCCCAACCCCAATGCCCCCATCCCTGTCTTCTGTTATTTGCCACTCCCCCAGCTCTGGGACACAGAAGAGATGGGGGAAAAAAATCCATCCTCTATTGTGTTAGACCCAAGTCCTATTCCACATGCTTGCTCACTGTTTTGGAATGGCTGAGGTAGGATATGAGGGACATAAAGGAGAGGGATGACTTGACTTCTTTTTGCTTATTGTAGAAAAGATATTCAGAGAAGTCTTAAATCTAAGGCATTGGCAGTGTTGAGAATGAATTGACACTCTCTTCTATCCCTTGATGTTTTGCTGCTTGTCTGGTGGGGCAGAAAGAGTGGATTGGAAAATAGCAAGAAATTCAGACAGTCTCCTGCTGTAGATTAGTTTGAAGCTTATCAGAGGCCTCTAGAATAAGAGAGAGACAGAAATTTTCTTTTATTCCTTCTTACCAGGCTGAATTTGAGAGTTATTTGACTTCAAAGGTAGGAATGAAGTCACCATTGCCCATATCTGTGTTGGAGACATTCCTGAGCTCTTACGGAAGAGGAGATGGTAAACAATCAATCGGTCAGGAGACAGGCTTTGTCCTGGATTCCTTTCCTCTGAGCCATCTTGAAGACAGAATTTATGGCTCTGGACAGTCCCTAGGAACCTCTTGTATATTCACACTGTTGAATGAGTGCTCAGTGCGTGTGCAAAGTGAGTGAGTGAATAAATGAACAAAGAAGTTGTTTCTTTTGGTGTCAGCAGTTCAGACAGTTTAACTGACTGGTGTGTCCTGCTGAGTGTCAGGACCCTGGGGCTGTGTTGGTGTTTCTCCAACAACCAGGCCATGTGCCTCAGTGCACCACACATGGTCACTGGAAATAGGCTGCTGCATTCTCTGGGTTGTTTTTATTGTTGGAGGCAGATGGGGCAGGTACAAGGAGCCAGTGCTTTCCAACTGCTGATCATAATCACATAGTCACTAAAATCAACTTAGTGGGTCAGAACCAGCTGTAAAAAAGAAATAGATGTGCTCAGAGTGGGAGGCCTGAAGAAATGGCCCCTCTATTTGTAACACACCCAACAGGAATCTGGGTTCACTGTGACAAGAGGCACAAAACTTGTGGCCTTCCTATGAATAAATACCCTACACATGTCTGCCTGCACCTCCACTGGGCAGGGACAGTGGGATAGGGCTCAGTATTGGAAGAAAAGTTGCAGTATTTAGTGGAAGAGTTTGCCACCTACAGCCTGTCTGGTCCGTACATGGGTGAGCCATGAATGGTCTTACAGTCATAAAAGCTTTGAACTTCTCTTTTCAGGAAAAAAGAAAGTGAGTCCAACTGTATGCCATTCTGGAAATGGTAAAACCATGGAGACAATAAGAAGATCAATGGATGCCAGGAATTTGGGGGGAGAGTGCAGATGAATACAAAGAGTACAGAAGTTTTTTAGGGCAGTGAAAATACTTGATAGTGTAATGATGGATATATGTCATACATTTGTCCAAACCCATGGAAGGTGTAACATACTCACTTGACTTAGAGTGAATGTTAAGATGATCTATGGATCCTAGGTGGTTATGATGTATCAGTATATGTTCATCTTCGGTTAAAAAGTACCATTCTGGTGAATGGTACTGATAATTGCTATGCATGTGTGTGGGGAGGGGGTATATGGGAAATTTCTATATCTTCCTGGCAATTTTGTTACAAACCTAAAACTGCTCTAGAAAGCAAACTTCTTATTTCTTAAAATAAGAAATAAGAGTTAACAGGCTCAGAGTGTTAGGGTAGACATTTTTGGTGAAACTTTTGTTTCAGTTATATCTTTGTTTACATATTATATATGTGTATGTGTATTTATGTGATTGTGATGTAAAATGTGTTTTTTAAGGCCAAAAGACTTTGCAAGTCACTGTAGTAAATTGTACTGGCAAATAAAAGCACAGATTAACCTCATACTCATTTTTTTTAAAGACATTCCATTAAGTTCCCTATTATAAACAACAGAGAGTGGTTTCAACTAACTTAAGCAAAAGAGGAATTTATTAGAAGGAAATGGGCAGCTCATAGAATTTAAGCTTAAAAAAGTCTAAACCAAGGGAGTCCTGGGGCCTGGGTAAATGGAAGGAGAGAATGGAGGGTTTCCAGTTCTGGGTCCACTGTTTCCATCTGTGTTAGGTCTTTTTCCCATTCTGTTCAAGATTCCAGGGAGAAAGTATCATTGGCCCCTTCCCCTCTTGGCCAGGGCTTGGGGTTCCTTGATTAACAGGCCCACCAGATTACCCAGTAAAGGAGGAGATTCTCTGAAACAAAACCCAAGTGCTGTTATCAGTGGAGGAGGATGGAAATTGGTAACAAGAACAGCAATAGACTTAATTTAAATGATCTCTGATTGTCTTTCTTTTCCTTTTTAAATCATTTTTAATCAAAGGAATGTATGTGTATGATTTTAAAAAGATCTAGTAATATCAAAGGCCTTTAAAAGAAAATAGTAAGCAATTCCCTACCTAAGGCCAGCTGAGCAGTAAAGAATCTGCCTGCTGAGGCAGGAGATGCAGATTCTATCCCTGGGTAGAGAAGATCTCCTGGAGAAGGAAATGGCAACTCACTCCAGTATTCTTGCCTGGGAATCCCATGCACAGGGGAGGCTGGCAGGCTCCAGTCCATGGGGTCGTAAAGAGTCAGACATGACTTACACTTAGCGACTAAAACAGCAGCCACCCAAAACCACCCAAAGTGGAAGTTACCGCTCTTAACTCTTAGTTCTGTCTAGTGTTTATGGCCATGTTTCTAAATAGTTTGCTTATGATTTATCAGTTTTAGACATTGTTGACTTCCTGTTGTAGGAATTATAGGAAGGTTTATACTGGCACCCCTTATATGCTTCCTTTTCCTTCTGCCTTCTTCCCAAAGAAATTATATCACAATTTTTGACTAAATTGTGGTTCTATTCATAACATTGCAGTTAAGAGCCTGGTTCTGGGAGTCTGACCCACTGGACTATAGTCACAGCTTCAGTGTTTGCTTTGCCCAAGATCACTTTGATAAACTACTTTATCTCTTTAGTCTCAGTTTCCTCATTTGTAAAATGGGGATAATAATTACATCCTTTTCATAAGGTTGTTGTGAAGAATGCGTATGAAATATTACGTACAATGCCTGGCACATGGTAAGTGCTCAGATGTTAGTCATTATTTTCTCTTTGTTACTTACAGCTAGACTGTTTTAACTCCCCCTGGTCAAGGGATAGAGAAAGAAGTTTTGCTCCTCATTATGTTGATGTCTGCTCTTACCTGTTCCTTTCCCCTTTCCTCTGCCAGTGGAGGGTCTTGAGGGTCAAAAGGGACATCTAGGTAGATCCAGAGTGAAGACCTGAATCATCTCGGCTAGTCTCAACTCAGCTGGGACTGTCTTAGAGTGATAGTCAGGGTTCATGTTTTAGCATCCTGTTCTGGGCTCTTTTCCTCCTTCTCCTTTTTCCGAAATCATGGCCAAGGCAGCTGGTGTCCCATGATGTCTGGGCTCTGAGAAGGTCCTTTTAAGCATTCTGTCAGTGTTACACTTCCTTAGAATATTTTCTCCCTGCCTCCACCCCAGGACTTCCCTGGTGGCTCAGATGGTAAAGAATCTGCCCGCAATGTGGGAGACCCAAGTTCAGTCCCTGGGTTGGGAAGGTCCCCTGGAGAAGGGAATGGCTACCCACTCCACAGTTCTAGCCTGGAGAATTCCATGGACAGAGGCTACAGTCTGTGGGGTTGCAAAAAGTTGGACAGGA